CAACTCCATCTCATCCGACCTTCCTCCCGTACAAGTCGGTAGAAAGGTTGTTCGTTGATGTCCCTCGAGAGTGACGACACCACTCAAAGGAATTGTGGGTTGTTGTTGCTTCGCGTCTTCCTGGAATTCCGCGACCAGAGTCTGAGCACTCTTGGCATATTGCTCGTCGACTGAGTCTGCCAGATGGACTCGTAAGCAGCGATGGACGCAGCTGCAGAAATCAGTACTTCGAACAATCCATGCAATGGGCACAAAGCAGAACATGAGGATCCAGACAAGAATGATGCCCACAATAATGAGCGGCACTGCATATCCCGGCAGCGGTTTATTGCCGCAGTCTTCGAGGTTGTCGAGGTTGCAGCTGGAAGTTGGTTGGGAAGCAAAAAAACTGGCACCTGTCGTCAGGACAAATGACTGCAACAACACAACTGCGTTCAACAGATGGAATAGCTGAGATCTGATACTAATCATGGTGAAGGTGAGAATGAGGAGCCAACGATCTGTTTGGTTATCAGTGATTGTTTTTGAGGTGCTCTTGATTACAGCTCTAGCTAGCTATTGAGAAGAAAATAAATACTAAATAGATACGTTAATAAGGAGCGAGGGGGGCGAGGCTAGGCAAAATAGTACCTTGTACGTGTACTGGTATTGACGTGGTTCGATTTTCCGCTTTCAAAGTTTTATTCCGCGTCGCCTCGGCTCGAGCGCTTTGGATATCGCGGTCATTTTGTGAGCGCTTCACACAGTAGGGCTAGAGATAGAAAGGGGGGTTTGGAGAAGGTACCTACAGGATGACTTTATACACCGCTGACAGGTGTCAAAATGTGAACCATTTTGACGGTTATGTTTCGGTTTCCGGAAATGGGAACCCAGAAGTGGACATTTCGCGAATCATGCATAGCAATGGCTGGCTCACAAAAAGAAAATATTGAAGCAAATAAATGAATTTTATCACCATGGCAACAGTGTTGACCAAATGGCTATTAGCTCTACCAATACACTGATCTGATCAATTCTTTGCTAGCAGTAGCTCCCCAACATACTCACAGACACTTGCCTTGAAAAGAGTTGATCAACTCCAAGGTTTCCTATGGAGCCTCTATGAAAAACCAGGCTTGGATTCCATTTTGTATCCATTCTGCCATGCATTTCTCCATGGGAAAGGTGCTCCTTTCCTCACTCTCAGCACCCAATCTGCATTGTAGAGTATGGTAGAGGAGTGGGTGGCTTTGCATGAAGACTGGAGCACCCAATTCAAAGTTTCAAAAGAGAATTGTTGGCTCAACCATGGCAAAATTGCCAGATTTTACATTTGTACTCAGTCGATTCGTCGCTTCGATTGATCAAACTCTTGCTTTGCTCCAGTAGATCAAACACTGCATACCAGTAGAGTAGTAGCCGTGTGTTGCATCATTGGCTCCTTGGAAGAGGAGGCGTCATGGTCGCTCCGTGTCATGGTCGCTCCGTGAAAGAAGAAAGAAGAAGTCAACGGAGGTCGATCGATCCATCGAACGGAAGACGCTTGTTGCCATCGCTTGTTGTTCTAGTAGTAGTACCGGTAGTCACTTGTAGTTTCATTGACCGTAGAGGAGTCGTCGCTCCGTGGAAGAGCAGGCGTCATGGTCGCTCCGTGAAAGAGGCCCGAATCGATCCGTCGGCCGATCGATCCGACGAACGGCTGCCGTTGCCGCTAACCAAACAAGAGGAGCCTGCCATGGTGTTGAGTAGTAGCCTTTGTTAAGAGGAGT